TGTGTGTGTGTGTGTGTGTGTGTGTGTGTGTGTGTGTGTGTGTGTGTGTGTGTGTGTTCTATACAATAAGAGGCAGTATATATATCAGTGATCGGTGTGCGGCGTCTATACAGTAAGAGGCAGTATATATATCAGTGATCGGTGTGCGGGGTCTATACAGTAAGAGGCAGTATATATATCACTGATCGGTGTGCGGGGTCTATACAGTAAGGGGCAGTATATATATCAGTGATCGGTGTGCGGGGTCTATAAAGGGAAGGTGTATACATGATGATCATGGTAACAGGGCGTATATGCAATAAAGCAGCACATCTAATGTCTAACCAGTGACACAGGCGGCCAAAAAGAGGAATACATTTCAAAACCGGTGTCACGTGGACTATACAGAGAGGAGCCCCCCAGTGTCACCAGCCGCTTCCAGCACATCTCCCCCCAGGTGTCACCAGCCGCTTCCAGCACATCTCCCCCCAGGTGTCACCAGCCGCTTCCAGCACATCTCCCCCCAGGTGTCACCAGCCGCTTCCAGCACATCTCCCCCCAGGTGTCACCAGCCGCTTCCAGCACATCTCCCCCCAGGTGTCACCAGCCGCTTCCAGCACATCTCCCCCCAGGTGTCACCAGCCGCTTCCAGCACATCTCCCCCCAGGTGTCACCAGCCGCTTCCAGCACATCTCCCCCCAGGTGTCACCAGCCGCTTCCAGCACATCTCCCCCCAGGTGTCACCAGCCGCTTCCAGCACATCTCCCCCCAGGTGTCACCAGCCGCTTCCAGCACATCTCCCCCCAGGTGTCACCAGCCGCTTCCAGCACATCTCCCCCCAGGTGTCACCAGCCGCTTCCAGCACATCTCCCCCCAGGTGTCACCAGCCGCTTCCAGCACATCTCCCCCCAGGTGTCACCAGCCGCTTCCAGCACATCTCCCCCCAGGTGTCACCAGCCGCTTCCAGCACATCTCCCCCCAGGTGTCACCAGCCGCTTCCAGCACATCTCCCCCCAGGTGTCACCAGCCGCTTCCAGCACATCTCCCCCCAGGTGTCACCAGCCGCTTCCAGCACATCTCCCCCCAGGTGTCACCAGCCGCTTCCAGCACATCTCCCCCCAGGTGTCACCAGCCGCTTCCAGCACATCTCCCCCCAGGTGTCACCAGCCGCTTCCAGCACATCTCCCCCCAGGTGTCACCAGCCGCTTCCAGCACATCTCCCCCCAGGTGTCACCAGCCGCTTCCAGCACATCACCCCCAGTGTCACCAGCCACTTCCAGCACATCAGCCCTCCCTCTCGTGTCACAGGACACCACACTCCCAATACATGACCCCCAGTGTCACCACATTCCCAGTCCATGATTCCCAGTGTCAGGCGGGGTGACGGGTCACGTGACAGCGGCTCCTCACCTCTCGAACAACAGCCTGAGGGCGAAGATGCCGAGCGCAGTAGGGAAGGCTAAGAGGAGGTGTCCAGCCCGGGGAAACTGCTCTCCGTTCTCGGTGTCCGCCAGGTCCGCCCAGGTGACATTCTGCGGCAGCCAAAATCGCTCGTTCCAGAACCAGGCCGAAAGAGCAGACATCTTCCCGCTGCAGCGCGGCGCACGGACAGCAGCACGGGGGATGACGCCGTTCCCCCCTCACTCTTCTCTCAGCACTGACACGGAAATTGGGCGGGACCGACCCCGCCTCTGGGACAGACCGCACCCGGAATATCTCTCCGTCGCCATCTTACTACACCACGGTGCGAGCATGTGACTCCACAGCGCCGCTCAGTCTGTGCCTGGTACTACACTCACTGCACAGCACCATTTGTCAGTCCCTGGTACTACACACACACTCATTGCACAGCGCACCCTACCTTCATCCTAGGTACTACACAGCGCTCGCGCCGTCTATCCCTGGTTCTACACACTCACTGCACAGCGCCCCCCTCCTTCATCCTAGGTACTACATACGGTAGTTACATAGTATTTGGGGTTGAATAAAGACATAAGTCCATCAAGTCCAACCCATATAGGTCCACTTTAGGAATACTTGTATCCCTGATTATTACAGTCCCTCAGGAAATCGTCCAAAGGTTTCTTGAACAATTCCACACTCTTAGCTGAAATCACTGCCGGTGGCAGTGAGTTCCAGACCCTAACCGCTCTTACTGTGAAGAACCCCCTTCGCCCCTTGTGCTAGAATTTTTTCTCCACCAATTTTAGGTGGTGGCCTCTAATCTTCGTAATGGAGTTAAACTTAAAGAGTTTGTTGCTAATGTTGCTGTCACCATTGAACATCTTGTACATGAAAATCATATCCCCCTTAATCTCCTTACTTTCAACGTGAACATGTTTAAATTCAGTAGCCTTGTCTCATAGCTCTGGTCCTCCATTCCCCTAATTAGTTTGGTTGCCCTCCACTGGACTCTTTCCAGCTCAAGGACATCCCTTCTTAGAACCGGCGACCAAAACTGGACCTCGTACTCCAGATGAGGCCGAACAGTGGCGGAACTACCACCGGTGCAGCCCGTGCGAGCGCACCAGGGCCTCAGCCTGGGGGTACCCAGCACAGTCCTGGCCTGTGCATAGATGGTATCCAGCGGCCGGCCGGCACCCCGTCTCTGCGCAGGTGACCAGTCACAGTTACCTTTTTACTGTTAATATATTGGTAGAATTTTTGGGGTTTTTATTTACTATCTGTGGCGATATGCTTTTCGCATTCTATTTTAGCTTCCCGGATTACTAGTTTACATCTTTTATTACATTCTTTGTAGTTAAGGAACGCCAATGCCGTCCCCTCCATCTTATATTTTATAAATGCCGCTCTCTTTGCCTTAACATGCAGTTTTACAGTTGTATTTAGCCATATAGGTTTAGTCTTTGATCTTTTGTTTTCGTTACCCAATGGTATACACTTTGAAATGGCAATATGTAATGTGTTCCTGAAGCAGTCCCACATTTGGTCTGAGTTTAGGTTGTGAAATAAGTTTTCCCATTTTATTTCCCCAACTAGGTTGCGCAGCTTATCGAAGTTGGCCCTTCTGAAATATAGGGTTCTTGTCCTTCCAGCCCTCTTTCCTTTCCTGTATTCAATATTGAAAGTAATCACATTGTGATCACTATTGCCCAGTGTCTCCCCAATTACAATATCCTCAATTAACTCCGCTTTATTAGTAATGATTAAATCTAGGATGGCATTTTTCCTAGTTGGAACCTCCACCATCTGGTCCATGAAATTGTCTCGCAACATGTTCAGAAATCGGCCCGCCTTTGTTGATCCTGAGCTACCATTAGCCCAATTGATGTCTGGGTAATTGAAGTCGCCCATCATGACTACATTGCCCTCCCTCCCAGCTATTTCTATTTGGGAGTGTAGATGAGCCTTCCCCTCCTCCCCTATATTCGGAGGTTTATAGAAAATACCCACAATTAGTTTATGGCTAGTGTCCGCCATATCGAGCTCCAGCCATAAGGTTTCCACTAGACATGTGCACTGTCAAAAAATTTGTTTAGTTTCGTTTTAATTCCGATTTTGTGTTATTTCGTTTTTCGGGATTCGGGTGTGAAAGTCAATTCGGATTCGGAATTCGGATTCGGACGAAATTCGTTAGCGGTAGTTCGTTCGAACGTTCGTTTCGTTTCTTATTCGTTCGTTTACAGCAAAGTGACATTTGAAGGGGAAAAAATGTTTTTCTCCTTCTCTAATGCCACTTTGCTGCAACGAACGAACGTACGAAACGAATAAGAAACGAACGGTCGAACGAACTACCACTAACGAATTTCGGAAACGGAAATTCGGATTCGTTATATCTGCAATTCGGAATTCGGATACATCCGAATGTCCGAAAATTCATCCAAATTTCGTTTCGGAACGAATTGCACATGTCTAGTTTCCACATCTTCTCCACTGTTTGACGTGATATAATCCCTTATGTGAATATTTAGATAGTTTTTAAAGTAAATGCATTTACATTGGTTGTTTGTTTCTAATTGTATTCACTTCTGACAATGTATTTGATACATTGACTGTTTCTACTATTTTAAATGTGTTGACTGGAGTGAGCCCACTATCTACTCCTCTGTTACTTCTTTCTGTATTATTTTTATATTTATCTAATCCCCCATTAAGGTGCAGCCCGTCTCGGCTGTAGAGCCGGTAGCCGACTGCGAAGTCAGCCCAGTTCTCCAGGAAACACATTACACAGTGCTCCCGACGTCTATCCCTGGTTCTACACACTCACTGCACACGCTGTGAAGCACCCCTACCTTCATCCTAGGTACTACACCTACTGCACAGCACCCCCTGTCTCTGCTCTGTGGTGGGGGGCTATGTGGTTGTAGTTTTGAGTTCAGTCCAATGCAGGGTTCAGCCTAAACTCTGGCTAATTTACTGTTCAGCTAACAGGCAAACCTAATAGGCTGTTCATCACCCACCGAGGTGAAACTCCAGCTGCATCGGAGTCATATATTTACTGTATATATCTATGACTATACTTAGTCATATATACTATATTACTACTGCTGAAATTTGACAGCTTCATGCTTAATGCTGTCCATGCATTCCTGGACTGACATCGCTGACCATATATGGCCAAGGCCATGTTTGGTCAGTGATGCCAACCAACATCCCCGCCCCTTTGTTTACATTCACCTGTCGAAGATGGAGCTGTCATTGACGAGAAGAGTTCCTGTGGGAGCGGATTGTGTTGTTTTGATGGGATGTGTTCATCACGTTTTACGATGGATCTACTTCGCTGGATGACACGATCGACAATGAATTTAAAACATGGGACATTTTGGGAGTTGTTTTGTTTTAATAAAGGACTTATTCTAAGTTATCAGTGTGATTATTAACAGTTTTTTTTGTTTGTTAATGAGTAACCAGGGGTACTTTGGATCCTTTACTCATGCACATGGGGGGGAGGGGGGGGGGCAGATATCTTAAGGAGGACTTTGAGTTTCTTGACCTTTAAAGCTGAACTCCACATACAATCATTTGTATTTAAATTTATTCCTCAATAGTCACAAATTACATAAATCCACTTTGTGCTCACCAAATGCCTTTCCAAACCTGGTTATTACAAAATGATAACAGTGGCAGTGACATCATCACTGTGCTGCACACAGCCTGTGCAGAGAGCAGAGCAGTGGGAGGAGCAGTGGGCCCCACTCACCACAGACTGCCTGCAGAAATCTATAGGAGGGGCGGAGACAAGACCAGTTGCCCTGCATTATAGCAGTAGTGACCAGCGGTCTTTATTACAGGAAGTTCCTTCACAAAGGAAATGTTTCATGCTGGATTTCTGCACAGATCTGGAAGAAATAAAGGGAGAGTCCTAGCTTACACAGGGCTATGGATTCACTGTGTGACATCACTGATTGGCTCACCACTGTCACATGGAGTAAGTCACATGTTCCTCCATACCCAAAAGTACATTATATTTTCCCTCCGCTCGCATTGGGTGGAGGGGAGGATAAGATTAGGGGGGGTGGGGGATTGAACAAACCTTTTTCCAGGAGAGGAAGCGATGGGGTATCTCTATGATGGTCAAGCAAGCAAGACGTGTATCCAAACCTCTGTTTTTAACCTTAGTGTGAGACAAGTTTTTTTACATGCTAGCTTGTGAGTGTGCTGGGAAAACGTTTTGCTGTTTTACTGTTTAAAGCCCATTCCGTGTGGACCTTGCTGTGAAGCTGGTGACGAATTGATGAGTGCGTTTGTCATCTGTTTTGCTTGACTGATTTGGTGCAGTGACGCATGGGGAGGGGGGGGGGGGTTCGGCCGCGTGG